GTGAGAGCATTATATATACATACACACCAATTTTACAACACCATTTTTTCCAGCTGAGCATGTTTTCTGAAGTGCAGGGGGGACAAATGCAAGATACTCCAATTAGGCAGAAAAAAATGCAAAGATACAGAATTGACAGCAGTACGTGTGAAAAAGATCTTGGAGTCCTCGTGGACAACAAGTTAAACATGAACCAACAATGGGACACAGCAGCTAAAAAAGCCAATGGGATTTTGGCCTGCATAAATAGTGTCTAGATCCAGATAAGTCATTCTACCTCTCTATTCTGCTTTGATCAGACCACACCTGGAAGACTGTGTCTAATTCTGGGCACTGCAAATGAAGGGCTATGCTGACAAGCTGGAAGGTGTCCAGAAGAGGGCAACTAAAATGATCAAGTGTCTGGAGAACAAGCCCTATGAGGGGCGGCTTAAAGAGCTGGGCATGTTTAGTCTGTAGAAGAGAAGGCTGAGAGCAGACATGATGAGGGCCAAGTATAAATATGTGCGGGGAAGTCATCGGTCGGAGGGAGCAGGCTGGTCTTCTGCTTCCCTGGAGACTAGAATGAGGAACAATGGCTTCAAACTACAGGAAAGAAAGGAGATTCCACCTGAACATAAGGAAGAACTTCCTGACTGTGAGAGCTGTTCAGCAGTGGAACTCTCTGCCCTGGAATGTGGTGGAGGCTCCTTCTATGGAGGCTTTTAAACAGAGGCTGGATGGCCATCTGTTGGGGTTGCTTTGAATGTGATTTTCCTGCTTCTTGGCAGAGGGTTGGCCCTAGGTAATTTTCAATGGTAAGCAAACAGTATTTTGGTGCCCCCCCCCCCCAACCAATCACTGATATATATTTTCTGTTCATGGTGGGAGTTCTGTGTGCCATATTTGGTTCAATTCCATCATTGGTGGAGTTCAGAATGCTCTTTGATTGTAGGTGAACTATACATCCCAGTAACTACACTTGCAGCACTTGCTCCCTTGCCTGGCCCGCTTTGGGTCCGGAGGCGTGCCTGAAGACCCCGGCAAAAGTCACCTCTTCCTGACTTTCTCCTCAGCCATTGAGACCGAGAGAGAGAGAGAGAGAGAGAGGTGGAGATGCCCACCTTTCCTGAAAGTAGGCACAAAAACAAAGGAGGGAGTGGAGGTGGGAGATACCTCCAGCCGGAGGGGCTCTCTCTCTCTCTCTTGGTCCCAATGGCTGAAGAAAAAGTCAGGAGAAGATGCGATTTTTGGTGTGTACGCTGGGGTCTTCAGACACACCTCCGGACCCGAAGTGGGCCAGGCGCAGCGGCTCCGCCCCTTGGCCCACCCGCGGATTGGTGAGAGCAGAGGAGGCGGATGGAGCGCCGGGGGATCAGGAAAGGGAGCCGGTCATGGGGAAGGGATCGAATGTGGAGAACGATTGAGCGCCGGCTCTGCTCACGCACCTGGTGGCCGGGTGGAGCAGGAACGAGAGGGGCTAGGCGAGGCTCAAGGGCCCGGCCCCTTTGGGAAGAGGATCGCCCGGCAGCGAGGCAAGAAGGCCGAGGCTCCCCCCGGACTGCTAGGGCTGTTGTGAGCTGAGGGGGCGCTCCTCAAGTGGCGGTCGAGGGGCATTTACAGAGGCGCCTCTGCGCCCCTGGCAAAAAAAAGTGTTCTGCGACCGCTTACTTCGCGTAATGGACGAGCCGCCCCTGGCAGGGGGTTGGACTGGATAGCCCACAAGGTCTTTTCCAACTCTATGATTCTAGGGAGCAGAAGTTTTGCAAAATAAATTGCTATAATGTTACGTTGATTTATGTATTACTCATAAGAGTCAAAGATATGGGTCTTTGTACAGCTTCTAAAGGAGGCTAGATTTGCTCTTCCGGGCTGTCCTCCTGCTGGCATGTAAAGACTTTTATTTTATTTCATTTTGTTCTCAGGCAGGGCACCAAATAACCAAGTGTGCACCTTGTCTCTTTTTTAAATGGATCTCTGCTTCTAGTGATGCTCTTTTTTGACATTTCAGTTCCTGCACATATCATTGCAGTGAAGGGTTTTGCAATAGCAGCTTGTCATACATGGGTGACACCTGGGGCAGTCCCCTTCTAGACAGCGACAAAAGGCCTCCTTTTCATCTGCTGTCTGACAGCCTCCCCGTAATGAGATGGCGGGCCCCAGGCCTCCTGAGATAATTCCATTTTTCATGCAGTTACATCTGCCCTGTCATGCACTGAAAAGGATAGCTGAATACCTTGCCTCAGCCGACCTAACTGAGTCTAAGTATTATTAAACATAAAACAAGACTTTTAACGCGTGGCTATCATCATTATCATCACATGTATTTATTTATATCACACATGGGCATATTGATTATAATCATGTGCCTTCAAGTGATTCTAAGGACTTTATCATACAGGGAGCTGCAAATGTCAGAGGATGCTTGTGCCCCAGTTGATCCATGGAGCCCCACGCCCCCCATCACATAATGCACACTGACTTCTGGAGAGACTGCATCAATCAGCGTGGGGTTGCCTTTGAAGACTGTTCAGAAGCTCCAATTGGTGCATCGGGTTGCAGCCAGATTGCTCACTGGAGTGGGGTACAGGGAGCACACAACTCCCCTGTTACACAAGTTCCATTGGCTGCCAGTCCGCTAATGAGCCCAATTCAAAGTGCAGGCTTTAGCCTATAAAGTCCTAAATGGTTCTGGCCCAGTTTACATTTCTGAACGTATCTCCCTCTATGAACCATCTAGGAGGTTAAGATCGTCCAAGAAGGCCCTGGACGGTTCCACCTCCTACGCAAGTGCAGTTGGTGCGGATGAGAGATGGGGCCTTCTCAGTGGTGGCCCCTTGCCTGTGGAACTCCCTCCCTACCAACATTAGATCAGCGCTCTTTCTTATACTAGGTTTTTATATATATTGTAAGGCATTGAATTTTTGCTGTGACTTTGTTGGAAACTGCTTTGAGTTCCCCTGGTAGTTTCTAATCCAGAGAGTGGGATAAGCTCCTGCTGTTAGCCCCAACTTCTGCCAATCTAGCAGTTTGAAAACATGCAAATGTGAATAGATCAATAGGTACCACTTTGGCAGGAAGGTAACAGCGCTCCATGCAGTCATGCCAGCCACATGACCTTGCGGGTGTCTATGGACGATGTCAGCTCTTCCACTTAGAAATGGAGATGAACATCACCCTCTCCCCCCCCCCCCAGTCGACGGCCTCCCCGTAATGAGATGGTGGGCGCCATTTACCTTTTTTAATGAAATAAATAAAATAAATAAATAAACTGCACCCAGAACATGGGAGGCGTCCCTTGTTCTATAAGGAACAATGGGACCAGCACAGGGGGAAGCAGAGTGTCAATACTTCTCCATGTGTGATAAGAAAGCATTGCTGCAAGAAAGGCAGGCACCCAGATTGCCCTAATGCCACACCGATTTGTCTTGGAGGCTGATGAATCGCCCCATACCATCTCATCAATGTGATGAGTTTATATGGCAAACCTATAGCAGGGAATTCTTGGTAAGATTTTTTCAGAGGGCGCTTGCGTTTCCTCTGGGGCTGAGAGAGAGTGACTTGCCTAATGACACCTATTGAGTTTACTTGGCTGAGCAGGGTTTCAAATGCTGATCTCCAGAGGCATAGCCCAACACTGAAGCTACTCCATCATACTGCCTGTCAGACAGATTGACCAGTTATAAATACTTAACATCAATAAGAATTATATAATTATTAATAATAATAATAACAACAACAACAATGCAAAGGCTCTGGCACAAGCCAATAAAGGTGCTTCCAGTGGTGATCAGCACACTAGGTACAGTGCCTAAAGACCTTGGCCTGCACTTAAACACAATAGGTGCTGACAAAATTACCGTCTGTCAGCTGCAAAAGGCCACCCTACTGGGATCTGCACGCATTATTCGATACATCACACAGTCCTAGACACTGTGTCTGACATGTGATCCAATACAACAGCCAGCAGAGCAGGCATGTAGCCGGGGGGGGGGGGGGGGCTTGAGGGGCTTCACCCCCCCCCCCGAAATTCTCATGGTGGTTCGCGAAAAGGCCTTACTGGTGCATTATTTAAACTGTTATGTTTATTCATATCATGATCTGATCAACATACTCAATATATCCCATATGCATGGGGGTATTGGGGTAATGATACAAAAGGTTTGCTAGGCTAGACCCTCTTTCACTCAGACTCAGCCCCCCCCAACCCCCCCCCCCCCAAAATTCACACACCCCCTAAACGAAATCCTGGCTACGGGCCTGCAGCAGAGTGACCTTGTTTGCTGTGTACTAATCTTTTTGTGTTTCAAATAACAACATCAACAACTTTATTCTTGCATCCCACCACCATTTCCCTGAAGGGACTCGGGGCGGCTTACACACAACATAATATCAGTTCCAGTCATCTCTTTGTACACACAGAGATACCAATGCCTTTGTTAGAAGACATCTTGCAAATACTAGTCTCTTTATGGTAGATGCAATCTCCATTCTAGCCCTTGAACCCATCAGGAAACATTCTCCCAGTCTTTCTAAGTCAAGCAAGAGACATGGGTCAATTAGTGAAGCATTTCCTCTTGATAATCCACCTTGTCTGTACTGTCAGCCAAACCAGTCAGGCCTGAAATCAAGGAGACAACCCTAAACACCAGAAGACTGTCTGCCTTCATGCCTCCTCCCCAAAAAAGGCCTGTTTCTGCTAAGTTTTCTCAGCCATATAGCCAAAGAGTTTTCAAATGTATGCAGGATTCTGAAGTTTCACATATAGCAACCACAATGATGATGACTTCATGATTACAACAATCCACCTCCAAACGTTTCAAAAATAAATATGCATCCCCCCACAGTGATTGCCACACCAGTCTCCTAAACTGGTAGTAAGCCCATCTTGCTTGTGTGTTTTGATAAGTAGCTGATAACAATCAGAGTTCTGCCAGTACATAAAGCACAATCTGCCACAGTCTGGCAGTCCTGCAAGGAACTCTTTGCACCTTCTCTCTAAATTCTGGAAATACCTCAAGATGCTTCCTGCAGCATTCATCCTCATCTTTGCTCTCCACCCAACAGTGGGTTTTGACATAAGCTTGTCCACCAAGTGTGTAGCTATCCCCAAAGAACTCTCCCAGTGCCACGACGTCAGCTCCTCAGAAATGAGGTTGCCCAATTTAATGGGACACACCAGTTTGGAAGAAGTTGTGGTGAAATTTACTGGATGGGAGACTCTTGTGCGAACTGGCTGCCATCCTCACGCAAGGACATTTTTCTGCTCCCTCTTTGCACCTATCTGTATGGACATGTAAGTACTAGCTGTAGCTTAGCGATATAAGTAATTTCTGTTTAACCCGTGTGTCTTGAAAAGAGAGAAAGAGGAGCAATGGGTAGCAAGGTGGAAACTTTATTGGAGTTAACATGCCACTAACACCAAGTAAAGTTGAATAGGAAGGGGGTTATGATCACAACTATAGTATCATAATCATGAATCATGAATATGAAACGAAGAATTTTAACTCCAATAATGTTTCCACATTGCTACCTATCTAAATATATTTCACAAAGTGACATGACCTGGAACTTTATCACACTAGAGAATGAATCCATTTTAAATCCAGTTTCTACCTCCTGCAGAGTTCTGGGGTTTGTAGTTTAGTGAGGTTGTTAAAGACTCCTCTCTAAACTACAAAGCCCAGAACTCTGCAGGAGACAGAAACCGGATTTAAAGTGGATTCATTTTCTAATGTGATAAGGTCTCAAGTCTGTCTCCCAAAACCTGATGAAAACATTATTATAATTGGAGATAAAAATGTTTGTTTGTCAATCAGATAATATGTATGTCTATAATTATGTATATCATTTCAAAAGTTGATGGTTTGTATTCTGTATCAGCTACTTAGTGTATACTGAACAGTTACCTGTATTTCCTCACCTGTTTCATATTCATGATCCCTATTCAGTCATTACTATGATACTATAGTTGTGATCATAACCCTTTCCCTATTCAAATTTACTTAGTGGCATGGTGGAAAGGATCAATTCTGCCAGCAGTCAGGACATAAGTAAATAATGTTTTCATCAAGTTTTGGGAGACCAGGTGATGTCACTTTGTGACATATACTTAGAAAAGTAAATAAAAGGATGTCGTAGAGACTAACTGAAATAATGAAGTTGGTAACATAAGCTTTCATAGATGAAATACTTCCTCAAATACTTCCTAATACAGGAATACCGGCACCCTCTGAAGAATTTAAATCTGGCTATCTTTGGAAAGGTTTTCTTTTTCATTTTTTGGATTATAGCTCCCTGACTCTGCTAGCCAATATGACATCCAAAGAATAAGGAAAAGTTTCCCAAGTTTTATAGTCCAAGCCAGTGTTTCTTAACTGAGGGGGCCACAAGGGGGGTTGCAGAGGAGTTGCCAAAGACGATCCCTCTGAAAACACATATTTCTGATGGTCTTAGGAACCTGTTTGGCATAGAACGTTAAAGATATCTCCACCTCCCCTTCTCTTCCTTTTTGGTGTTGGAGAACTACAACTCCCAGAATTCAAAAACAGCCCCATCAGTATTCAGTCTTGGCTGTGTAGGTAGTCTCCCAAGTTTCATGAAGATTCATTGTGGGCTGGGATCAGAGTGCTCTTTGATTGTAAGTGAACTATACATCCCAGCAACTACAACCTCCAAATATCAAGGTCTATTTCCCCCAAACTCCATTTGTGTTCATATTTGGGCATATTGAGTATTCGTGCCTAGTTTGGTCCAGATCCATCATTGTTTGAGCCCACAGTGCTCTCTGGAGGTAGGTGAACTACAACTCCAAAATTCAAGGTCAGTGCCCACCAAATTTATTTATTTACTTATTTACTTTATTTCTATACCGCTTTTCTCAGCCCTCAGTGGGTTAAAGCCCTGTGCCGGCAGAATTGAAGACCAACAGGTCGCAGGTTCGACTCTGGGGAGAGGCGGATGAGCTCCCTCTATCAGCTCCAGCTCCTCATGCAGGGACATGAGAGAAGCCTCCCACAAGGATGATAAAAAACATCAAATCATCCGGGCGTCCCCTGGGCAACGTCCTTGCAGACGGCCAATTCTCTCACAACAGGAGCAACTCCTGACACGACCAAAAAAGCCCTCAGACGACTCAAAGCGGTGAACAACATCAGTACAAAATATCACAAAACAAGTATAGGGCAATTAAAAACAATTATCACATAAATCATTAACATCAGTATAACAATCATTAGCGCCTCAACAGTAAAATCAGAATCCACCAAACCCTTCCAGTGTTTTCTGTTGGTCATGAGAGTTCTGTGTGCCAAGTCTGGTGGAGTTCAGAATGCTCTGTGATTGTAGGTTAACTATAAATCCCAGTAACTACAACTCCCAAATGACAAAATCAATCTCTCCCAACCCCACCAGTATTCAAATTTGGGTGTATTGGGTATTTGTGCCAGATTTGGTCCAGTGAATGAAAGTACATCCTACATATCAAATATTTACATTACGATTCATAATAGTACCAAAATTACAGTTATGAAGTAGCAACAAAAATAATTTTATAGTTGGAGGTCACCACAACTTGAGGAAATGTATTAAGAGGTCGTGGCATTAGGAAGGTTGAGAACCACTGGTTTAAGCTCTACTGTTAAGCATCCCAATTCAACAAAGACAGAATGCAGAGTCCATCCCAGTTCCATTTTCAGCCAAAATAATGTTGTTTATTACACAAACAATATTAAAAACGAGACCTGGCATATTTTGAACCAATCTAATTGATAGTTTATTTTATATTAGGAAACGAGGAAATATGAGGTGTGGATTTACAGTATGACATAAAGTCCAGATAATGGTTGTATAAAAATTTCAATGGCCTTCCAGACTAGCTCTGCAAACAACATTATGTGTGTGTTTTTTCCCCACCAGATTCATCCTCCCTTGCCGAAGCATGTGCCTTGCCATTCGGGAAAGCTGTACTCCTGTCTTGAGCTGCCAAGGGCACTTCTGGCCCAGCAATTTGAATTGTGACCGGTTTCCAACAGATGAGGACAGTTGCCTTCCATCCCTCACCAAAGAAGCTAAACCTTTTCCCAGAGGTACATTAAGCAGTGTTTATAGATGGTAGATATGAAATCATTTATTTAAAACATACATAAACAGAGAACTCAGATGAATCATTTTTTTGGTCCACAGTTCACAGAATTCCCCAACTAAAAGCCACTGGGAAATTCTGAGAAAACAAAAACAAGTTTCCACTGTACTTCCACACATATGTAAAACACTTCGATTTGTTCTGATCTTATTGTCGAAGGCTTTCATGGCTGGAATCACTAGGTTCTTGTGGGTTTTTTCGGGCTATAGAGCCATGTTCTAGAGGCATTTCTCCTGACGTTTCGCCTGCATCTATGGCAAGCATCCTCAGAGGTTGAGAAGGTCTGTTGGAAGTAGGAAAAATGGGTTTATATATCTGTGGAATGGCTGGGGTGGGGCAAGGAGCTCTTCCCTGCTGCAGTTAGGGAATTCTGATCTTGTCTTCTCTGTTCTGGGTAGCGATCTATATGCAGATTGAATAGCCACTCTGTTGGGACAGTGAGCTTATTCTAATAAGTAAAAAAGTAATATAAAAACATTATTTTCCACCTTCCCTTTCACTGGGTACAATACAGGAAAGAGGCTACCATGTCACTTTACTGAATGTGTTGCTTAGTTCTCCGAAGTTAACAATGTGATATATGCAAGCATGCTTTTTAATGTCTGACAGCTCTCATTTTTCCAGTAGAAAAGCAGCTCTGGGGAAATGTGATTGAGAACTGGAGGGGACACACAGGACATATTTTGTCATTTATCTGTTCCAAAAGCTCCTGAAGCAGCTTCCTGCCCACATATGGGCTGGCAAGCTGTTCGGTATTTACGATGCCATCAGCCAGACTTACAACATCATAAAAATTGCAATTCACATTTACGGTTGTTGAGCCATTGCGATGACTGCAAATGTCCACCTTAGAAGCCAAGCTGCCATACCAACAAGTGGGTCTTTCTTGCACTTTCCACACTATAATCCTACTGGACTGTTCAGCACTCCACTCTCTAGCACCTCAGATGCTCTTCAGTTGAAGCTGCCTGGCTTCTAATGTAGTTTTAGAAGGTCAAATCAGGAGACATAGCTACAATTATAGATTTAAAATGGCATGGCTAAATCTGACAATGCAGGATCTCTGCTATAGGTTAATTACATGCTACTAGTCAGGTTACTATATGTATATAGTCAGAATAGGCCACAATGGTCCATGCTCTCATTACATCTAGGATAGACTACTGGAACGCACTCTACGTGGGGCTGCCTTTGAAGACTGTTTGGAAGCTTCAAATAGTCCAACGAGAGGCAGCCAGGTTAATAACTGGGGCAGCATACAGGGAGCATGCAATTCCCATGTTGCGTCAGCTCCACTGGCTGCCAGTTTGCTACCAGGCACAATTCAAAGTACTGGATTTGGCCTATAAAGCCCTATATGGCCCCAGCCCAATTTACCTATCCAAACACATCTCCTTCTATGAACCACCATGGAGACTAAGATCTTCTGGGGAGGCCCTGCTCTCGGTCCCACCACCGTCACAGGCGCAATTGGCAGGGACAAGAGAGAGGGCCTTCTCAGTGATTGCCCCTTGGCTATGGCACTCCTTCCCTGGTGAAATTAATCAGCCCCCCCTCCTTCTTGTCCTTCAGAAAGATGGTAAATACTTGGCTGTGTGATCAAGCCATTGGGAAAGTGCAATAAGGTAACAATAAGAATTTTACTCTGCTGATCTGAAATGACTTAAACAATTGATTTTAATTTATTGTCAAAGCTTTTCGTGGGCAGAATCACAGGGTTGTTGTAGGTTTCTCGGGCTGTATGGCCATGTTCTAGAAGCATTCTCTCCTGACAAGAATTCTTTCTCCCACCCTGGACATGTAGCCGGGGGGGGGGGGGGGGCTTGAGGGGCTTCAGCCCCCCACCCCGAAATTCTCATGGTGGTTCGCGAAAAGGCCTTACTGGTGCATTATTTAAACTGTTATGTTTATTCATATCATGATCTGATCACCATGCTCAATATATCCCATATGCATGGGGGTATTGGGGTAAAGATACAAAAGGTTTGCTAGGGTAGACCCTCTTTCACTCAGACTCAGCCTCCCCCCAAAACCCAGCCCCCCCCCGAAACCCCCTGAAAAAAATTTAGCCCCCCCCCCCCCCGAAACGAAATCCTGGCTACGGGCCTGTCCCACAGATATATAAACCCCACTTGCCTAGTTTTCCAATAGACCTCACAACCTCTGAGGATGCCCACCATAGATGCAGGAGAAAGGTCAGGAGAGAATGTTTTTAGAACATGGCCATACAGCCAGAAAACCCCAATAGATTTTAAAAGCGGAGATGACTAGTTTTAATGTTTATATATGTTTATAGTTTATTGTATGTTCCACCATTGAATATATGTTGTGCTTCACCCTGAGTCCCCTTCGGGACTCATAATAATAATAATAATAATAATAATAATAATAATAATAATAATAAAGCATTTTAACATTTTAACATGCCTACTGATAGTATCCTTTTCTGTGTTGGTTGTTCTCAAATTTTGCTGAAGGATTTAAAGTCAAGATTCAAACCTAACAAAAAAAATGTGACTGAGATGGAATATAACTTTTGCTTATAGAGTTACATGATCTTTGCACACTGGAGAACTGCAACAGTATGCAAGTGGATGTGCAGATAAGGGGGAAATGCATGATTTGCAATCGACAACAGCACCACATTTGCAATGGCACCACATGCTTTCCTTATCCATCTTTCAGTTAAATATGGTTGTTATGCCATAGCCAAAAGTATACAAATGTGTAGGGTATTAGATTAATTCAATAAAATGTACATTTGGGACTCTTCTCCTGTACTGTAGCATTACAAATAATTTGAGAAATAAGTGTTGACATTCGTATGCCAGAGTGATGTAGTAAGCTGGGTTTGAAGAGCCATAGCTATGAATCTCACTGCCCACTGGCCTGCCACTTTTTCCAAGGATGGTGTAGCTCACAGTCACAGGGTCCTTGTGAAAAGAAAGACAGGGTATAAATGTAACCTTTAAACAGATTTCGTAATTCCATGGAAACATTACAAATCAATAGACTAACAACAGACTTCATCATATGAAGCTGGCAAACCATCCTTGCCCTGCCATAAGGTGCTTGCTTTGCATTTATTATACACATATATCTTTGCTGATTTTTTAAGAATCCTAAAATTGCCCAATCGTGCTGAAATAATAATAATAAATCTTAATAGTAGGCTAGGTAGGTAGTAATGCAAGAAGGTGGCTTTATGAGGGTGTGCCAAAGTTTAAGCATGGGACTTTAGATTAGTGAACTGGTGCAATTGTGCTACTGAAGTGAGATGGATATTGAAGATATTCAACTCAGTATGCATCTATTTGCGGGGGGGGGGGGAGGCTGGGGTGGTTCAGCTGGTTAAGCTGCAGAAATTGCTAAGTTGGCATTTCGAATCCGCAGGATGGGATGAGCTCCCATTGTTAGCCTTACCTAGCAGTTCAAAAACATGCAATTGTGAGTATATCAATAGCTACTGTTTTGGTGGGAAGGTAACGGCGCTCCATGCAATTATGCTGGCCACATGACCTAGGAGATGTCTACAGACAACGCTGGCTCTTTGGCTTAGAAATGGAGATGAGCACCATTCCTCAAAGTCGGACTTGACTAGACATAATGTCAAGAAGAAACCTTTACCTTTACTATGTATCTATTATGTAAACTAATGCAATGTTATGGCACAGTAGTTTGGTGTGATGTGACCTTCCTTGGAGAAATAAAGCACAAGTTAGGGCTAGGGAACTATGTAATTTAAAGTATATGATGTTTTATTTTTATATGTATTCAAGGCATTGTGCCTTTGTTATGAGCTGCCCTGCGTCCGCTTCGGGGTGAGAAGGGCAGATATAAATGTAGTAAATAAAAAATAAATAGGGAATTATGGCCCTCCAGATATTGTTGACTGCAGTTCCCATCAATTCCCGTCAGCCTGACAGATGGCAAAGGGCCATGGGAGGCATAAGTGATCAACATCTGGAGACCCACAGCTTCTTTGCACTTAAATGAGACATTTAGGATGAAAGCCTGACAGCCCCTCTGAGTCCCTGTGTTAGTCTTATCTTTTTTTGTTATTGGAAATACCCAGTGTTGCTTTTGTACATCTTACATAACAGCTTTATTTTCTCTGGAATAAAATCCAACCTCAAGACAAAACATTTTTTTTTCTTTTCTCATTACCAGTTTTTCCAACAGCTACTTGCCAAGATTGCCCTGAAATTGAAGAATTCAGTACAAACAAAAGAGCGATAAACAGTATTTGTGCCAATAGTTTTGGTAAGTCTTTATTGAATGGAAAAATAAGTGAAGCATTAATACCTTTCTTCATTTGAATTCCTCCTCATCCAGACTTGATCCTTGGATACCATATGGATTAATAAAATGGCTATTAGTTTACTGCACAATAAATAAAGTTTGACACCACTTGAACTGCTATGGCGCAATGCGATGGAATCATGGAAGTTGTGGTTTTACAAGATCTAAGGCTTTTTAAGGGGCCACAATGGCACAGCAGGTGAAACAGCTGAGCTGCAGAACTTGCTGACTGAAAGGTCATCACTTTGAATCTGCAGAATGGGTGAGTTCCTGTTGTTAGCCCCAGCTTCTACCAATCTAGCAGTTCAAAAACATGCAAATGTGAGTAGATCAATAGGTACCGCTCTGGTGGGAAGGAAATGGCACTCCATGCAGTCATGCCAGCCGCATGACCTAGGAGGCATTTACGGACAACGACAGCTCTTCGGCTTAGAAATGGAGATGAGCACCACCTTCCAGAGTCGGACACAAATAGACTTAATGTCAAGGGGAAACTTTTACATTTAGGCTTTTCTACCAAAGAGTGGTGGTGCCTTACCACACTACAAATCTGAGGATTCCATAATTTGAGCTATAATAGTTAAAGTGGTGTGAAAGTGCTTTATTTCTGCCGTGTAGAGATGGACCCTAATATGATTAGTGCTGATGTTATCTAAAAATAGTCACTTCAGGTGAGTAATTTCTGAATTGTTTTGGATAAATGCCAAGTCCTCATTATGTTCAAAGTGTACCAAATACTTTTCATTATTTGGGGATTAGGCTATCAGATGATCATTCAATCAGACTGCTACCTTATATATTATGTGAATCAATCATTTGGGCATGATATTAAATTCTGATATTACACCTACAGCTATATTGTTAATAGGATCATAGATTTCAAAATATCACGACAATTATGTTAAAGAGCAAACCCAACAATATCCAACACTAGGTATTGCTCAGTTCTGGTGAATGAGGGGAAGTAAATTTATCTGTAACCGAGTGAAATTACTATGTTTTCCAACCTGATTTTTATTTATTTATTTATTTATATTTCATTTATATACCACTTTTCTCACCCCTGGGGTGACTCAAAGTGGTTTCCAACATATTTACAGCAAAAGACAATGCTTTACAAAACATGAAAACCTGACATAAAACAACAGTAACATAAAACTATCAATTGAATCATAAAACGTAACTACATTTAAACATTAAAACAAGGGATTAAAAACATATTAATATAAACATTAAAATCACATGATCCAAAAGCATGCTCCAGGCTGTTCTAGCATCAAATAACAATTGCACATAATCCATGTTCATTTCTTGTCCTGCTTAATGCCCAAATGCTTGGGCATTCAGATGATAGCCTTCAGATGTATTGAACTACAATTCCTACCCACCTGCAACATGTCAATTTTGTATTACTGGGATGATAGTTACATCTTAGCACCACCAAGTTGAAGATGGCTGTATCACCACATTTCACATACTCATCTCTATTTCTAAACCGAAGAGCTGGAATTGTCGGAGACACCTCCAAGGTGAAGTAGCCGGCATGACTGGACTGCTGTTACCTTGACATGACATGGACTGCTGTTACCTTCCTGCCAGAGTGGTGACTCTTGATCTACTCACATTTGCATGTTTTTGAACTCTTAGGTTGGCAGAAGCTGGGTCTAACAGCGGGAGCTCACCCCGCTCCCTGGATTCAAACCTGCAACCTTTTGGTTAGCAAGTTCAGCAGCTCAGCGGTTTAACCCACTGTGCCACTGGGGGCTCCTCAGTCTACATTATTATCATAGTTACATTACTGCAGTGACACATTTAGCATTCCATGGATTGCGGCCATAGTTTCTCTGGATTAGGACCATTTTTTTCAAATTGAAGAAAGGTGTTGAACAAAAGAAATGACACATCTGTTTTCTTTTTCTGCCCTCACAGCAGTCAAGGTGAAACTGTCTAGGAAACCATCAATCTTCGAAGTTCAAGAACACAATATTGACTGCCAAGTCAAATTTCTTAACCAGGGGTTGCTCTTGTCTTCCGGAACTTGCAGTGCAATGCAGCAGTGGTTACTGATCAATGAAAACTGTACTCGGCAAATGAGCCGGGCTTGCCACCCCATGGCATATCTCATTGTGGGGGCCATGCAACAAAGCAGCGTCTTAGTCAACCAGGTGTATTGTTGGCCGAGGCAGGATTCCCAGCTGAGTTTGGCAACTTGGAAATGGAGGAATCATAAGTGTGTATAGCTCACTGTTGTGCCATTTTATCATCTGTATATTTCAGGCTGAGAATGTGTGAGCAAAAAGTTGTCATCCAGCCTTCCAAAAGTGGAACAGGTAAACGGTAATGGACAGTGGAAAATGGCTTCTTTTGGCCTTCTGAAGTTGTTTATGTTTATATTAGATTTTTAATTGAGCCACACACAAAATTCCTACAGATTGTAAGCATCCGCATTCCAGAACTAATCTGGAACTATTAAGATTCAATCTGACAGCCATATTGAAATGGGGTATGTTGTGTCCATAGTGGATCTGCCATGTCCAAAACATGTTAGAGGCTGTCCCTCCATAATTTTAGAAGTACAGTCTTCCCCCGCTACTTCGCAGTTTGCTTTTCATGGACTTGCTGTTTCACGGGTTTATGCCTCCTGGCAACGATGGAGTGTGGAAAGGGGTTTCACCCTCCTCCTCTGGAGAGAGGCAGCCAATCATTTTAAACCACGGCCTTATAGCCACTTCCTTATAGCTAGCAAAAAAAAAAAAGTGTGCGGTGCCTTTAAATATCTCCTCAGTTCTGTCTCACCCTTGGAATGCAATATATATATATAGTCCCTACTTTGCAGATTTTCACTTTTCACGGGTGGTCTCGGAACGTAACACCTGCGATAAGTGAGGCAACACTGTATCTTGTAAATATACATACATTTACGAAAAACAATGTAAATTCTTCTAGGAACATCTTTATCAGGTATAATGGAATCGATAACAATTTGGTTCTGCATTTTACCTGTTATGAGTGTAAATATTTTTTCCTCCTGAGATCATCTTAACATTAAGATATTGATGGCACAATATAACTTCTTTTAAATGTTTATAAATATAAATGGTTTAGTACTGTGTAAATTTTGGTGAACATCTCATTAAAATTGCTTACAAAGTACATTGAATCTCAGTGCGCCTTCTTTAGATATGGATGTTTCCTCTTTAAAATGTTGTCTTGACATTTATGCCTATGGCTCACCTAGGGTTGCCAAGTATCTCTTATTGCAACAAATATCCCTTATTTAAAGTCTTGAAATATTTAACCTTACATACAACTAACAGGTGTTCCTTGTTATAAGGGCTACCTCCTGCTTGAAGACTAGAAAGCCTTATACTGAACATGATGCCAAAATTATATTTTGAGGTGACAGCCATTCTGAAAGACATACATGTGTGCATTGTGTTATTTATAGATAACTAGCCAACCCCTGCCACATGTTGATGTGGCCCAGTCTGGTGATCTGTAAAATAAAGTAACGAGAAAGTGTTAGTTTCTAATATAGATATATATGTATATGACAGATACAGTATCATAGATTTGAAATGTTGCATGTTCCAGCGTAGGCAAACCAGACAATCTTTACATCAACACTGACAAAGAAACAACAAGAAGTACTGTTTACCCACAAGCATAAAGAAATTACATATCTATATCTATGGCTGGATGGCTCTTTGTCAGGAGAGCTTAGATTATTTTTTCTTTCCCTGCTGAAGGGAATGGAACTGGGTGTCCTGGGGAGGTCATGAGGGGGTGTCAGAGGGGTCACCAAAGACCATCAGAAAATACAGTATTTTCCATTGGTCATGCGAGTTCTGTGTGGGAAGTTTGGCCAATTCTATCATTGGTGGGGTTCAGAATGCTCTTTGATTGTAAGTGAACTATAAATCCCAGTAACTACGACTCCCAAATGTCAAGGTCTATTTCCCCCAAACTCCATTTGTGTTCATATTTGGGCATATGGAATATTCGTGTCAAATTTGGTCTAGATTCCTCATTGTTTGAGTCCACAGTGCTCTCTGGATGTAGGAGAATTACAACTCCCAAACTCATGATCAATGCCCACCAAACCTTCTAGAGTTTTTTGTTGGTCATGGGAGTTCTGAATGTCAAGTTTGGTTCAATTCCATCGTTGGTGGAGTTCAGAATGCTCTTTGATTGTAAAAGAACTTTAAATCCCAGCAACTATAACTCCCAAATGGCAAAATCAATTTTTGAGTGATGGTCACATCTTGCATTAGTAGGTGTCTTGTGGCCATATTTGGGGGCAATTCATCCAGTAGATTTTCAGTTATGATGTCACTCAAAATGAACAGAGCGTATATATATATATATATATATATATATATATATATATATATATATATATATACTGTTCATTTTGAGTGGCATATATATATGAGAGAGAGAGAGAGAGGTTACAGCACTATCCCCACTTTCACAGGGGTTATGGGTGCAGAATACTCAAAGAAGTGAAAAAACAAACAAATTAAAAACAATTTTTAACTTAAAGGAACACTTCTATAGGAATCCCTATGTTGTCTGTGGTCAACTTCCACCAGATGGCGACTATGGAATTGTGCTGGAGGACCTAGGGATTCCTAAAGATTTGTTCTCTGTAAGAATCTCTAGGTCCTTCAATATGACTCTATGGCCAACGTCTGCCTTAAGTTTGCCATAGAATCATGCTGGAGGACTTAGATATCATTAGAGAGAACATGACAATCAACTCTTCAAAAGGTAAACCTGCAAATGTGGAGGACCAATGCTAAGTTTACAGAAAAATATGGAGCTGACTTTACTGTACTTTCAATTCTCTCCTCACATTTTGCCCACATCTATGGCAGGCATCTTCAGAGGTTGTGAGAAAGCTTTCGACTGGACATGATGCACAATCCTCTGAGGATGCCTGCCATAGATGTGGGTTAAACGTCAGGAGAGAATGCTTCTGGAACATGGCCATACAGCCCGGAAAACTCACAGCAACTTAATATAGTTATTGTATTATAGTTACCAACAGTCAAGTAGTATAGTCAATAATGGTGGCTGATGGGATTTGTTATACAAAAGCTTTTGATAGGACACTAAACATTTGGAAAATATTTCTAAATCTGTTTGGAATCTATCACTTCAAGCAATAAAATGTATGGGCCATACCTGTTTAATATATTTATTGCTATAGTACCAACAAAACAAACACTTCAGTCCTCTTTAAAGAATACAAGTGTTACAATGTGATTATACGCTGTGTATATGTATTGGGAAGAAAGGCCCCAAATTTGACACCTGAGATAAGCAAAAAAAAAAAATCATATGTAGGAAATTAATGGCAGTTAAAAATCTACACAGAACATAGGTACCTGAGTAAAAGTTTTTCCCAGAGAATTTCCAGTAGGAATTCATAGCACTTCCCACTCTAGCATCATGCCAAATAAACCCTGGAAACAAGAAACATCTGCAAATGCTTGCATAGCAGGACACTCCTTGAGCTAAGTCATCATGCAAGCATCTTCTTTGTGCCTCCCGGCAACAGAACCAAACTGTGTTCTAACAATCGAGATCCACTGCCTGCCTACAGTTAGGTTGCTGCTTCAATTTGTTGGGTTTGGGAAGCCAGATTTACTGTGGAAGGCTACCAGCTGTGCAATGGGCAGGCATTCAAGAGGTATAGCCAGTCACAAAGTGATAATGTTTGATTGATCACGGCCATATTCCCAAGGACCATCCTCCTCCCCAAATCAGACAATGGATTATCCAATTTTCTTTATGCCAGCCAGTCACAACAACTGTTAATATTTGAAAGCCTTATTATCACCTTGCCAAAGCGAAGAGATTCAGTTAATTAACTTCCTCCTGTTTTGGAGCCTCACTTTCCTACGTTGTCCTTCCAGACAGCACAGTGGACAATGAACAATCCTTTGCTTTTAGAACATGGCCATACAGCCCGAAAAACCTACAACAACCCAGTGATTCCGGCCATGAAAGCCTTCGACAATACATTGAACAACCCTTTGCTTCTCCATCCTGCTCCCAAAGGGCTTCTGATCCTTTAGGACTTAAATTTCAGGGATTGGAGGCCCCTTCCACACAGCTGTATAAATTTTATTTATTATTTATTTACAACATTAATAGCCCGCCTTTCTTAACCATACAGCAACTCAAGGTGGGGTACAGATTGGCATAATTTGATGCCATACATTCATAAGAGTGCAATTAAAACAATCAACATAACAATATAAAAACATATATAAAACCATTAAAACATGTAATCATCAGTGTAATCTTGTTAAAATCATTTTCCAGTAACATTGTCTGGCCATTCCATGTTCAAAATCTGTTTTGAACTAAGTTACATGGCAGTGTGGACTCAGATAACCCAGTGCAAAGCGCATATTGTGGATTATCTGCCTCGATATTCTGGGTTATATGGCTGTGTGGAAGGGCCCTGAGAAGGATATTCAGCTGCCCAATCCAGATATAATCCTGGCAAGTTCTTCCCTGTAGCAATATGGAAATAATTTTGTCTACTATCTCTAGGATGGAAGCTGCATGGAAGTTGTGAGAAGAAACCCAGAATTATAACCGGGTTTAAAGGAGAAATGAAGGCAAGAATAGGTAGAAAAAGAGACAAGTAAGCCAACAAGAAGAAAAGTAGTCAGGAGTTCGAGGATACCAAAATTCCATACAATGAGCTAATAAAATGATGTTCCTTATATAAAATGGCAACCTTGAGATTTGTTTTTTGTATATTTTTGGGAGTAATATTTTCAAGTTGTGGGTAGTTCAATTCAAGGATGCAGAATATGTGGATATGGAGAACCAACTATATTTTCCTATTGCTCAGTAGAATTTACCACTAACTGAAACAGAATATATTTTTAAAAACTTCTTAGAACCTAATTGTTTTGTTGCTGATGGTCTTGATGTTCTTGTTTATTAGATTACTACGTCTTTTAATTGCTGCAGTTTAATTTGTTGCTCACTAGGGTTGTGTGCAGATCCTTTTTCCTTCATTACATTCATTCTTTCGTTACTTTCGGTACGAAAATCAGCTCGACATAAAAGCAAGCCAATCCCGGATCCTAGCCTGCTTTTCGTGAGCAGCCTCCTTGCTTGAAAAAAGTGTGTGCGTGGCATACAGGCCTAGTAAGCGTGCATGCCTGCCTGTAGCTGAACACCTCCTCTAGAGTAAGAAAAATAACTTGCC